TCAGGGTTACCCCTCTGGTGTGTCTCTGCTGCCCCCTAGTGTTCCATGTGGAGACTGAGCCAATAGCCGCAAATCCCACATATTTTAACCAAAAACATCTTATTTTAGAAAATACGTGTATTTATATACCCACCTGTGAAAACAGCTTCTCAGGAAGCCCAATTTTCAACATTAATTTGCAAAGGTAACTCCAGTCCTTAAGGGGAAGCAAGTCTTAAGACACAAATCCTCCCAAATCCTGCCCGCACCCTGCCCCCGACCGGTCCGCCTCCGGGTCCCAGCTCCAGACCTTCTAAACGTCCCTTTAAAATGCATAACCTATCCTCCACTCGGTCACTAAAGACGTCCCACTCAGCCCTACCATCCGATTATAACAGGTGTAACTTTAGAGGACAGACACTAAGACAGTACTAGACAGAGTAAACTAATTCTTCTAGTCACCAGATGAACTTGTTATTCTACCATGTTATAGATGAAAATACTGAGAGTCAGATGAAGTGAATTTGCTCCAGGTTACAAAGCTAACATGTGGCAGAGGTGGGTCTGAACCCGAGCGCACTGACTCTGCTCAGCTCCAACGTGGCTCCCTGGTACGGCCTCCCACCAGGACCCTTTCTCGCCCGCTCACTAAGGGCCACATTTCTTTACTCTGGTTCACGGCCTATGACAGGGTCTGACCCCAGCCCGCCTTTTAAGCATCTTTTCCCCGCAGTGTCCCTCGGGAACGAGATCGCGCAGGTCTCTGGGTGAATCCGGCCCGCAGACACTCCGCGCTCACGCCCAGTCGTGCATGGGCACCCAGTCCCTCTGCTCAGCCCCTCCGCAGAGAGAAGCAGCTCCGGGGAGCCCTCCCCACACCCTCGGCGTGGTGGATTCCGGGCCACCCCAAGTCGCCCCACTGGGATGGCCAGAGCTGGGCCTGCTCGTTAGACCCGTAGCCTCAGAGGCAGCGTCATGCCCTGGTCACCCTTGTAACCCAGCCACCTGGCTCAGTGCTTGCCGCTCAGCAGGCCACCAGAGACGGTGTCCGATGATAAATCAAGTCCCCACGTCCGCTCCCCTCTTGCAGCCCCACTGAGGGCGGCGCTCTCCCCTCGGTCAGTTTCCCGCATACCCGAAGAGTCTCCTGTCAAGGGTGGGTTTAACCCATCTTTAAGGAAACGTCCAGGTAAACCAAAAGACCTGTCTTAACACCTTCCTGACGACACGTCTGCACCCATGACACTGACACACTGACGCGATCGGTTAGGCCAACAGGTGACACTTCTCACTCCCCTTAACGGCCTCCCCGCAACATCTCATCATAACGAAGGGCCTGAGGGCCGGCAAACACGCCTGACAGAGAGGGATCCAGGGCACAAGAGTCCAGGTAACGGGCCCAGGGGGCCGAGCCAGGTTCGAAGCCTGGCCCCTGTGTCCAGAGCCCCTGCACTACTGGGCTGAACTACTCTCCTTGTAGGTTATGGCTGTAAACGTGTTAAATATCAAAACACGGACGGAAGGACACACGTCGGCTCTAAGACGTCGATCGACCCTGTTGTTTTCTTTCTATTTAAGCTATTTTCTCTCTATTTTAAGAACCTCTGCAGTCAACATGGCAAATGTTAAATCTGGATGTCGGAGGCACGAGTGTCTTCTCATTCATACTCTATATGTTCGAAATACAAAATGATTTTAGTTCCCTCCCTCCCCCACCCCTCACCCCCTCGCGCCTAAGCTCCCAGACCCACGAACCTGAGTCGTCATTATACCATCTCTCCCTCTCAAAGCACGACACGACCGTCGCTGACCTCGGTGGTCCAGACGGACGCCCGGGCATCATTCTGTCTGCCCCTCCATCCAGCCATCATACTGCCCACCTGGACTCCTCAACGGTCTCCAGACTGGTCTCCCGATGTCACTCTACCCCACTCAAGACAAGGTGGACCATTCCATTCCTATGCTTATAGGACCTTTCTTTTTAAAACCCACTGTTCTTAAAATGAACTCCAAATTCTTCACCTGGCAGAGAAAGCGCCCCCGCCCTGACCCGCACCCCTTCTGCACCCCCTATCCCCCGCTCTCTCTCCAGACCCGTCTGTCACTCTGTTTGGTTCCTTCCAGATGGCATGTGTCAGATGTTCACCCTGGCTGAGCCACCTGCCCAGAAAGCTGTCCCCACCTCTCCTCTCCGGGCTAGTCATCCCTCACATCCCAGATGGAACCTCCGTGGCTCAGTGACAGTCCCTGACCCCCACGCCCTCCACCACCAGCAAACGGGGTTGAACCCTTTGCACTGGCTCCCTTAGCACCCTGGACCTCCACCTTTTTCCACCTGCCCCGCTGTCAAATGTCTGTGCCTCGAAACTGTCAGCCCGGCGAGGGCCGAAGGGGCCTTCCTCACTCCCCACTCCTGGCACAGTGCGTGCTCAGTGCAGATCTGCTGACTTACAGTTACCTGGACTCCAATCCTAGTCTCGTGTTCTTCAGCGAACTGCTAAACATGTCCATAAAAATCCAAGTTAGTTAAGTAGCTAAAAATCTTCCTGGACTATCAATTTGGGTATTTTTCATTAGCAACCTGCAGTTAAATGTTCCAATGACTTTGTTTTATTAAAAACGCATTCAAAAACAACTAACACATCCAGGTTCGGATTTAAGTGGTGTTTGTGGATGCCGACCGCAGTGACCTTCACAAACTTCCTGTTTTATAAACCTGACCACCCAGACAGGGTTACAAATGGCAACTGCTTCACAAGTGACAACGGTCAGGTGAGAGGCATAAAGCTCGTTCAAGGTCACAAAGCTGGTAAGAGGCAAAGTTGTTTCTCCAATCAAAAATGAAAAAATTTGAAAGACTAGCAAACCCTGACTTTTGAAAGTAAAGCACCACCACGTAAAGAAGCGACACGAAGAGCCACCTCATTCATTAGGGTGGCCAGTTCTGACCCCAGAGCTTCTACCCGGCCACACTGAATCCTGGCACGGAAAGAGCAGAGGGACCGGCGGTAACGAAGGTCCGGGAGAACCGCACTCACGCCCCCACCGGCAGGAGGCGCACCCACCTGTCGAAGATTGATGTAAACAGCATTCTGGAGAAACTCCGAGGCTTCCATGCTCCGCTTCTGAATGGCGAGGATGCGCACGGCTTTGACGCACGCTTCCAGCTCGATCACTCCAGCGTTCTTGTACTGCGGGGACAGAGCAGGACCCTCCGTCAGAAGAGGCAGTGAGGGCGGAGTCCCTCATGGGGGCAAAGGAGGGAACTTACAAAAGTTCCTTCAACTGATTCGACCACAATAGCTGGATATGTTACAAAATTTCAAAATATTATCAGTGGACATTTTGCTACTTGCCTCCACTTTTCATCCCTGGTACTCTAGAACACTTAGACTCTCTCGCGCCTGCACCTGCGGCTTTAAGGCCCTGAGGTAATTTCACTGTACTTTGTTGCAAAAATTCTAGCTCTTTGTATCATTGTACCCATCTTCTACTTAAATGTTTCATGTCTTTGGTTTGCTCTCTCACAGTTACTTATTCCTGCTTCTTAGATCCTGGGATGAAGGGCAGAAGACAAAGCAAACAGAAAAAGCGCCGTGAACTTCACATCACTACTCAGTAAAAAAATCATTTGTGAAGCCAGGCAAGAGGCTGCTCGAGAAACTTCGCTATTACCCTCAGGGGCTGAAAAGCAAGAAGTAGTGCTTCTCCCTCAGAAAGTGGGAGAGAGCCTGATGTGTGTGTGTGTGCGTGAGTGTGTGTGTGTGTGCGTGAGCGTGTGTGTGTGCGTGCGCGTATGTGTGCACGTGTGTGTGCATGTGTGTATGTGTCGTGTGTGTGCGTGCGCGTGTCTGCGCGTGTGTGAGCATGTGTGTGCTCGTGTGTATGCGTGCGTGTGTGTGCGTGCACGTGTGTGCGTGCGTGTGTGTGCGCGTGCACGCACACATGTACACATGCACACAAATCAAAACAATCAAATCGCAGCAGCGTATAAATATTTTTATATCATTTTGACCATTTCGCAGTGATGGGCCAACCTTCGAAACAATTTTAATCTCACAGGAAGGTCTCAGGCTCTTCCAGGGAAGGATGTGAAATTAGAAAGAAAAGGAGGAAAAGAGGTAAATGAAGCAAAGAAATAAAAACACAGCTAGAGAAAGGCAAGACATTAATTCTCTTTTTCTACTTGCATCGCATACATATTAGGACCTGCTTTTCTCCCAAGATGTCTTGTAGGATCCTGAAGTAAAGAAGAGATGACCAGTTTTTCATTGAGCAATATGAATAAGTCCGTCATTGGACCTGGCTGTGTATATATATAGCAAATATATACATATAGCTTCGCCTGATTAAACGCTTAGTTTCCCCATTTTGAGAGACGAGAAACTGCAGCTCAAAGAGGTCCTACAACTTGGCTAAAGTCAGACGACAGGGTTTGAACTCAGTTCTGTCTGACTCCAGAGCGTGCTCTGGAAAACTCGTGACACATGGGCCACGTGGCTCCCCTGCTGCGCCCATGGCAGACAAGCCTGTCCCCCAGAGATGAAGTCTCAAACTCTTACTGGCGCGGTGCTCTTGGCACCTGGAACCTTCATTCAGACTCAGCTGCTGAAGTGGCATCAACCTGCCAGGCCCGCAGCTTCGCCATAAGGGCGGGGCGTGCGGTTTCTGCGCATCCCGGGCTCCTTCAGAGGTGGGGGTCCAGAGGCAGCCGCGAAGTTGCTGGAAGTACCTGTCCAAGCCACACCGCCTACCTCCATCCGCCTCCCCGTCTCACGACTTAGCTGGGGTTAATTTGATAATCTTGGAAACAAATTTTTAAAAATAGAAAAGACTCTAAAGAGTACTTAATACTTGTAATTTTTAAATGGCAAGTTATGAAATGAATATTAAAAATCGGTCTGCCTTTCTACATGTCACCTTGAAGCAGGTAAAAAATGTAATGGCAAAAAACCCATTCGAAACTAGCAACGACATATACAGTCACTAGGAAGAAACCTAAAACGATGTTCAGGGCTCTATGAAGAAAACTACACCATGCGAAGGGACTTCAAACGAGACGTGTGAAGGCAGGGACAGCAACGTGCTCTGCAGAAAAGAGCGACTCTGTGAGATATGAGCTCTCCTCAAAATAATTCAAAACTTACTGCAAGCCCCAAGAACACTCCAATCTGATTTTTTGTAATGTGGACACTATATTTTAGAATTCTTCTGGAAAAATAAAGCCATAATACTAGACAAGAAAATCTGGGATGAGGAAATAATTTTCTTTTAAAGACACATATTAGATATTTAATAAGCTACAACAGATCAAATATCACGGTGTTGGACTATGAAAAAACGGACTGGCAGAAAGAAATAAGAAGCTTAGAATCAGACTCCAGTATGTGTAAGTGTCCGGTACAGAAGGGATTTCAAGTCAGGGAAAAAGTATGAACTCAGTAAACTGCTGGAACAATCAGAACGTCACTTGGAAAAAATAAATTATATTCCTATGTCATAATGTACACAAGATAAATTATAGATAAAAACATAAATGTTTAAAAATACTAACAGTAGCATATATCAACATAGCTTATCCTCACTGCAACCCTATAAGATACATACTATTATCATCCCCATTTTAGAGACAAAAAACTGAGGAAAAGAGTTTTATTCTTGTTGTTACTTCTTGTTGGTATGTCTAAGCATAATACCAAAGGTCAAAGATCTACTATATTAAAAACACTCTTGCCCACGACCAAAAAGAAAGATTTCATGACAACATTTAAGGCAAGTAACGTTAAGAAAAAGATTTGCAACACATGTCAATGATAGAGAAGAAACTAATATTTAAAATATACAAAGGGCTATCACAAAGCAAGAAGAAAAGCACCCTAACTTAAATGTGTGCGAAGGACACAGGTAATTCATAAAAGAAATGCAAACAGCTAACAAGTGAAAATGTTCAATACTTGACTGGTAATCAAATGCAAACTAATACAATGAAAATTCACTTTTGCCCATATATCGGCAAATATTTTTAAAAGATACAATAGCTAGTGTCTATTTGTGGGAAAACAAACTGTTAATCTTTCTGGGGAACAATATAGCAATGCATATGTATTTTCGGAAAAAAAATATGCACGCTGTATGACCGCAGTCCACTTTGAGGAATAGCTCCCTTAAAAAGAAAATTAATCCAAAAAGATTTATCTATTAGGGCATTTATCACAGCACTGTTTACAATAATGGGAAGAAAATCAGAATTAAAATAACATTCAGTAATAGAGGATCAGTTAAATAAATAATTTGGCATCTTTTCATTCCCTATTTAGAAGGAATTTGGAGAGTAACTTGAAAGTAACCTATGATACGTGTCAATGTCATATCCGGTGATCAAATTTCCAGAAATCTTAACTAAAGGAATGCTTTAAGAACACAGACTATCTGAACGAGGATGCTCAGTCAAGCCCTTTTTCCTGAGAGTAGAAAAGTGAGGAAACCTAAGTATCCATCAACGGGATAATTATTACGGACATTAGGGCGGGCCTCTCATCCTGTCCCAGGCGCTGTGCACAACCGTGCCCAGCTCGCCGGTCTCCCGCGGTCTCCCGTGGATGAATGAACGCCGCCGCCCTCGTGTCGGAAGAATTCACACGATCTGAGAGAACAGAGCGGGTCTGAGGTGGCAGGACACCTGTGACGCACTGCTAAGTGAAAAAAGCAAGACGCAGAATAACATACATAGTGCGATCATATTTTTGTAAATAAAACAGATGTGTATACATACGTGTTGTGTGTGTATTTCATATGTAATTTCCCAGGCACCAAGGTCATGAAGGACACACCAAGTTTCCCACAGCTGTAACTCCCAGAATACGGGCGGAGGAGGGAGGGGCTCCCACTGTTCGCTCGCTGCTCCGCCCTTCCGTGCCGCGCGAGCGCTTTTTCTTTTTTTCTTTTTCAGTATTTCAGGAAGTGTACTTGGAATTTAAATTTTTTTAGGTCCAAAGTAAAAAGAATGGTGCCTTTGCAAGATGGAATGCTATACAGGTGGCTAAAAATCATGCCATGGGATAGTTACTAACACGGAAAAACACATAATAATGCCGAAGGAAAATTGCAGGGCTCCATACAGTAAATAAGTACAGAGTGCTCACTACTTTTTATGATACAGATAATACACAGTAACAAAAAGACCAGAAAATAGAAATTAAAGTGGTAACAGCGATGATCTCTGAGTGGGGCTTTGATCGTCTTTTTTTCTCCTTTTTCCAAACATTAGAATCAGAAAAAGAATTTTTTAGGTGTATAGTACGATGCAGTAGGATTAGGCAGTAATACCTGAAAGAAATAACTAGGAGATGCCACAGCATTGCGCAGCATAAAATAGGAACTTCCGATTAACACAACACAGCTCCGTAAGGGCTTCACGGAGCAGCGAAATCACCTTGCTGTAGTAGGAGATGGCCTCCTTGTACTTGTCGATGATGTCTTCGGGGCTGAGACAGTTCTTCGCACGTCCAATTTCAGCACTGGTGTCAGCGTTTATGCCATTGGTGGTCAAGGCACCTGCAAACAGAGAGGAAGGAAAATAATCGCATTTGCTTTTTCTGTCTCGTTTCTTTGTTAATTTAAAAAGGGAGGGGCACACGTACGATAAAACTTAAATATTCCCCACTGAAATTTAAATAATGGAATCGTTTGTAAAGTCTTCACGGCTTACGTACTCCCTGTGATAGTCTCACCGTCAAAGCATTGTAGTAAATGTTAATTAACTCACAATAAGTTTTCCTCCCTGTTAAAACTTTTTATTAAAGAACAGGAAATGCATTATACAAAAGTAACGTGACTACAATAACTAGCTTAGGTGCCTTGAGGACAGTGCAGCCAGCATGCGCTACCTCACAGCCTTAAGCTCTTAATGCCCGCAGCAGAACACACTGTATCCTCGAGTGCAGATAAACTATGTGAATGCACTTTCCAAATTGTACAGCTCTAAAAAAAATGTAACTCATAAATATTGGTATCTTTCTTTGCCTGTCACATTCTATTTCTGGCCAATCCCTATCAGGCAGAACCACCTAATTCCCTAGCCATCGAATTCACATGGAGAAGAGTTTGGGAGAAATTTCTATTTACGGAATGTAACCAACTACACATAGAACTCTGACAGAAAAAAAAAGGTGAGATATTCTTCAATTTCATAGAACACTCAAAAAATATTCCCCTAAGCCTCGGTAGCAGGAAAAGCTGGGCTTCTCCTAAGCCTTCCTTTTCATTTATCTCACAGACGACAAGCATCTCTCAGCATCCTGTTTTCCCAGTGTGCCCTGGGAGGCTCCGGCACACGTTTGCTGTCAATCTTTATAACTCACAGGCCAACGGCATGTGCCTCTCACACTGCCCGCGGCTCACGCAGGCTCACGTCCTACCCCTGCTATGTCTTCTTGGGCCCATGTTCTCACCTCTCGGTTGGTATTCTGTAAGCTGTCTCAAATGCTTTTTGGAACAAGACAGAAGAATGAATGGACAGATAAACAGACAGATGGACAGGTGACAGCTGGACAGGTGACAGATGGGCAGACAGAGAGACTCCAAGAAGAGGGAACAAAGAAGATGTCCTATGCCAAATCCTCTTCTAGAAAGAGCCACAACGGAGCACTGTGAAGAGGCAGGAGGCTGAGGATTTTGTTTTCTGCAGATTTTTTGAAAATCACAGCGAGCGATGAGAGGGCAGAACTATAAATAATCAAAAACAAGGGCGTGCTCGAAAAAGATATCGAAAATATATACTTTTTAAAGAACAGCAAGGCCCAATGACACAATCCCGGGGTACCTACGGAACTAAGATTCCACCCCCAAGCCACGAGGCAACGCTCTGGAGCCCTGAGAGCGTACGCAGGGTGGTTACGACACCCTCGCGGCAAAGCGAGGTCATTCTGCACTCACAGGTATCAGACCCTGTGCTAAGGGCTTCTGCAAGGCACCCCCTTTCCAAAGGGAGGAATCAAGTCCAAGAGAGCTTAGGTCTCCCTACCAGTTCTCAAGTGTGCAGCGCTGGTTACCCCAGAGTAGGACTGGAACGGGGGCCCATGTTTTTAACCACTGGACCATCATCCTTTGCGTGTTTTCATATATGTTATATATTTGTTTCTGCCATGAAATAATATTTAATAAATGATAGGTCGTCTTGATTTATCTCATTACCTCTAACAATTTATGTTTATATTATTGAATTGTATTACTGTCTTTTGGAGAAAGGAAGGGAAAGATAATGAGGGTCAGAATGAGGGGGTCCTTCATCCTTGTGTGGTACCTCATCTCATCCACGCAGTACATGGTCAGGGTTAGTTACCTACAAGGGTAGGCGGGAATGAGGTGGGAAGGATGGAGAGGAAGTGACACTTCTCTGAGTATACCTTTTGGTACAGTTTTGACTTTTGGAGCCATGTTCATGTTTTACATAGCAAAAAATATCAACCAATAAAGAAAGGACAACCTGGTAATGGCATATAAACATGAGCTATTAACTATATTTCAAATAAATAACATAATTAAGCCAATAGTGAGAACAAAAAGAACCACAAATAACCTTTGAATTCTACTTAGAGGTTTGTTTTTACAGTGACACAGATTAGTAATTCGGAAACTACTTTCTACATATTGTAGGGCTGAGAAAATGAGTAAATACATTGATAATCTTAGGAGCCAGATGTCTCGCTATTAGAGAAAGAAAATGTAAGTATCTAACAGGGGAAGATTAGAAAGAAAGCTGGGATTTTGGATTGGAATTAGAGACCTCGGTGTGAACTCTAGATGACAGTATGAAGTTCTCAGAAGGCCCAGGAGCGCTCCCTTCGACAGCTCAGCCGTAGAGCGGAGGCTGCAGTACCTTCCCACGTGGTCGAAAGGCCTAGGAGCAATGAACCTCAATAGCAATAAAAATTTGACTGCCCAGTTTTTGGTTCCTAAATACCATTCTCCAACAAAACGAACTAGAACACCCTAGACAGATGCTTGATTTCAGAGCTGGGACAGGCAAAGTACAAAACAAACCTAAATATCTTGACCCAGAAAAGCAGCAACAAGCAGACCTAGCAGATATCTGCAGAGCCTCCACCAACGGCAGCAGAGGGCATGCTCTGCTCAAGTGGACAGAGAACATTCTCCAGGACGGACCACAAGCTACGTTATAAAACATATCTCAATAAATTCAAATGAACTGAAAAAATCCCCAATAAAATACTAGCAAACTAAATCCAGCAACATATGAGAGGCTTATACAACATGACCAAGTGATATTTATCTCAAGAATGTAAAGTTGGTTTAACAAGGAAAAGTCAGTTAATACAATATACCATATCAATAAATAAGGGAAAAAACCACATGAACATCTCAATAGACACAGAAAAAGCATCTGACAAAATTCAATGCCCTTTCATGATAAAAAATACTCAACAACCTAGGAATAGAAGGGATGTCTCAGTATGAGAGAGGGCATCCACGCAACACGTACAGCTACTATCGTACTGAACGGAAAAGGACTGAATGCTTTCCACTCAGACCAGGGACAAGACGAGGAAGCCCTTTCTCAACACGTCTATTCAACAAGGCACTGGACGTTACAGCCATGACAAGTAGGCAAGAAAATTAATAAAAGGCATCCAACTCGTAAAGGAAAAATCAAAACTAGGTCTTTGTCAGGTGACATAATCTTGCATATAGAAAACCTAATAAGGAAGCCACTAAAAAACTATTACGGCTAATATATAAATGAGCTCAGTAAGGTTGCAGGATATGAGATCAACATACCGAAATTAACTGTATTCCTATACAATTGCAATGAACAATCTGAAAATGAAATTAAGAAAACCATTCCACTCATGATAGCATCAAAAAGAAAATACTTAGAAGTAAACTTAACCAAAAAAAAGTATATAATGATTCTCTGAAAACTCAAAACGTTATTGGAAAAAAAAACTAAATAAATAGAAAAGTAAATAAGTAGATAAACCTCCATAATCCTGAATCAGAAGTCTTAATATTCTTAAATATGGCAATACTCCCCAAATTGATCCACAGATTCAAGGAATCCCTCTCCAAACTCCCACTGGATTCTTTGCAAAAATTGACTAGCTGATCCCATGGATTTGTATGGAAATTTAAGAGACTCGGAATTACCAAAATCATCTTGAAAAAGAACAAAGTTGGAGGACTTACACTTCCCAATTTCAAAGCTTACTATGACTTCTCACTAGGTGGGAAGATTATAGGTTATTTTTTAATTATTTGTTTATTTTCTAAATTCTCTCCAATGAACATGACTTTTACACTAAGAAGAAATAAGACGCCTTTTAAAACATACATGCCTATTATTCACTTGTCGAAAACAAGTTTTAATTATAAAGAGGTAAACGAATACCTAGCAAAAAAAATTTATTTAAAAGCGCACTTAAGTTTTTCATAAATTGAAAACTTAGAAGTTCAAACACATCAAGTTTCTAGGGAAATTTTTACAACATATTAAAACAAATTCATTTTCAAAAATTCTAATGATGAAAACTCAAGAAATGAAGAGAAAAACATATTTGAGTGTCAACTTCAAATACATCAGGAAGAAAGGCCTAGAGATCACAACTCCTGTGACCCTCACACTAACAGTATAATGACAAGAAAATCTTTACCTAGGAGACAGTGAGATCCTGTGCATTCCGCAGGGATAAGCTCAGTACAAACTGCACTAAACACAGTGATGATTTTTTAAACAAAATTCTAAAGTTAGAACATTATTGAAAAGCTATAAAACTGCACTGAAAAACAATATGTGTCTGTACACACACACACACACACACACACACACACACACAGTCTGCCCCCAAGTCGCATATAAATGCACTCATTTTTGTTTACTCACAGGTGCCAATTATTTAACTGAGGCAGAATATTTTAATTAAGACTAATAAACAATACTACACTTCTCTTGCCAAATCAAGTTAATGAATTCAATCTGCTATGTAACCGTAACGTGTTTAAGATAGATCTAAAATTAGTGGAAATACCTATATGCGGTTTGTGGGACTCTTCTCAAAATTTCAGGCCTTTTAAATACATCCGAGATGCTGTCAAAAGTCTCTCACTTCAGACAAGGATTCGCGAATATAAACCGTTCTAACCATCCCGCTGGACGATAAGGCGCTATCTGGACACCGCGACCAAATAAAACGAAATACAAGGGCAACGATGACCCTACTCTGGAAGGCTCACAGTCTGTGTCAACACCAGGGTTCTTATTTCATTAGTCAGCAAAATAAAATCAATCCGATACTTCCTTTTACGTTCTGTAGGCATGGCTGTACTTTCAGTGTGATGACCAGAAAAGCTTTAAGTGTGACCTTGTTAGGTCCGTGGCAATAACCACCGCTGAAGGTAACGCGGAAGCTAAGTGACCTCGAGGCTGCTGCCCGCATTCGGCCGACGAAACCTGCCCGGAGCGCTGCGAGGCCCCAAGCAGAGAAAACCCAGTCAGGACCAAATAAGCGAAGAGCTTTTAATAACTGATT